CCAACTCCTGGGCTCAAGCGAGTCTCCTGCCTCAGCCTCCCAAGTAGCTGGGACTACAGGCGCCCGCCACAACGCCTGGCCATTTTTTGGTTGCCGCCATCGTTGTTTGGCGGGCCCAGGCTGGGGACACCTTAGGTGTACGTGGCTGGCGCCTTAGCCTCTTGAGCCATAGGCGCTGAGCCAGTATTGGGCTTAATATACCGTATCTCTTGTAATTTAGATTTTAGCAGCAGAAAGGCTCACTGTCAGGAGAGGATTGGGATTGACTAAAGGGGTGAATGTCAGGGAATTCTTAAGAATAGATGTGTTGAATACACGTTGACATTGAAGACAGCTAGGATAATAAATTCTTTAAGTAAATAAATATATGTAGTATAAATTATATTAAAATATAATATTTTCACTGCTTTTTTGCCCTAGGTCTTCTAAAACTAGGCTAGTATACTGATAAAACACTGATACTGATAATAAGTGAAATGCAAATATCTAGACATAAGTTTATGTAAAATAATAGTTTTCATCTTAGTAACTTTAGCTTATTTCCACATAAACCTCATAAAAATCAGTTCAAGTGCAGTCAGCTGAGTTTCTTTTTTTGGTTTTTTTCCAGAGCAGTATGTCCCCCAGATAAATGTAGAACTAGGAAAGGCTAAGTTCTTCCATGTTTAGAAATTCTGTGAGGTGTGAGGAGGCCCGGTAAATAACAACATCCTTCCTTGTCTGAGTTCTAAACTAATTAACAGTGACATGGGAATAAAACAGGTGGTTCTGAAAACCTGAGCTCTATACTGGCAGACCCTAGAGTGGATAAAGCAGCTCAGAGACAGAGCTAAATAGACTCCTACCAGCAGAGGACAAGTGCAGCAGATGTCCGCTCTGCACAATCCTCCCAATGCAACCTGGGGCAAAAAGGAGCATGGGGTGTCTGCATCCTCCTTTTAAAGAGGACAGAGGGAGGGGCTGCATCATGGATGCCCAGTTCCTTTTTCCAGATTCAACAATTTCTTACGTCATGAGGAGTGAGTGAGAGTTGGAAAGAGGCCAGAAATGTTGTCTAGCCAAAGTCCTTCCCATGAAAACGTGAGGAATGACAAGTAAGTAATTCTGCCTGCCGAAAGATTTAGGCTTTAGTGCATTTATCATGTTTTAAAGCCTAAGACTGAGGACTTTTTTCCTCTTGAGACAGGTTCTCTCTATATTGTCCAGGATGGATTTAAATTCCTGGGTTCAAGAGTCCTCTCTCCTGAGTGCCCCAAATAGCTGAGAAAGACAGGATTTTTATAACATGTTCTTTTTTGTTTCCCAGAGGTCATGCACCCCACATCCCCTGTACTCCGATCCCTACTGAAAGGACAGTTACACATTTGAACACTCTGAAGGACCATCACCTGGGTGACTTGTGGGCCCAGACATACATCTCATCCTTGGAATATTCTACAGGCACTATGACCCGAAAAGGGAGAAAAAAAGACAAAGCTCGAGTGAAGGAACTACTCCAAAGCCTTGCATTTTCTGGTGACTCAGACATGGAGGAAGATAATGAGCCTGAGACCCAGCCTGCTCAAAAGAAGCTAAAAGTGCCAAGTGTCCCAGAAAAAAATTGGACCAAAAGAGACATTAAACCCAACTTTCCAAGCTGGTCAGCCCTGGATTCTGGACTTCTGAATCTCAAGAGTGAAAAGTTGAACCCAGTAGAGCTCTTTGAATTATTTTTTGATGATGAAACATTCAACTTAATTGTCAGTGAAACCAATAATTATGCTTCTCAGAAAAGTGTCAGCTTGGCAGTCACAATTCAGGAAATGAGGTGTGTGTTTGGTGTTCTGCTTTTGAGTGGATTTGTGAGGCATCCCAGAAGGGGAATGTATTGGGAAGTCCCAGATGCTGATCAGAACTTTGTTAGAGATGCAATTAGAAGGGACAGATTTGAATCAATTTTCTCATACCTGCACTTTGCAGATAATGGCCACCTAGATAAAAAAGATAAGTTTACAAAACTGAGGCCTCTTATAAAGCAAATGAATAAAAATTTCCTCTTGTATGCTCCCCTGGAAGAATATTATTGGTTTGATAAATCAATGTGTGAATGCTTTGATAGTGACCAATTCCTGAATGGAAAGCCTATTAGAATTGGCTATAAAATCTGGTGTGGTACCACCACACAGGGTTATCTGGTTTGGTTTGAACCTCATCAAGAAGAATCAAGTATGAAAGCATATGAAGATCATGGCCTTGGGTTAGGTGGAAATCTAGTGATGAACTTTGCTGATGTTCTTTTAGAGAGAGGTCAATATCCCTATCACCTGTGTTTTGATACCTTCTTTACAAGCGTCAGATTGGTGTCAGCCTTGAAGAAGAAGGGAGTGAGGGCAACAGGAATGATTGGTGAGAACAGAACAGAAAAATGCCCCCTTATGAATGCAGAACATATGAAAAAAATGAAGAGGGGGTATATTGATTTCCAAGTGGAAGAAAATGATGAAATAATTTTGTGTCGTTGGTATGGTGATGACATTATCAGTCTGTGTTCCAATGCTGTAGGCATAGAACCAATTAGTGAGATAAATTGTTTTGCCAATGATGAAGCCATCCCTCAGATAAGTCAGCCATCGATTGTGAAAGTGTACAATGAATGCAAGGAAGGTGTAGTTAAAATGGATCAAATTATTTCCAAATACAGGGTGAGGATAAGAAGCAAGAAATGGTACTCAATTTTGATGAGCTACATGATTGATGCAGCCATGAACAATGCATGGCAACTACATAGAACCTGTAACCCAGGTGACTCTCTAGACCTCTTGGATTTTCGGAGATGTGTTGCGCATTTCTACTTGGAACACAATGCTCATCTGCCAGATTAAAGCAAACAAATAGATACAATAAAGACATTAAAAATACATAGAAAAAATAATAACTACACATTAGATTGTTCTCTTCCAGAGAAAATCTGTTATATATAGTGAAAGTATTAAGTAATATTTTTTAATTCAGACATTTATATAGAATTTCAAATTCAAAGACTTATAGCAAATAATGTTTAAAATTATCTAAAAATGTTGAAACTCTAGTGGTATCTTTCTCTATGTCTAATTTTATGTCAGACATGTGGGAAAGCATTTATTTGTTGAATTAACTATTTTATACATTTAAAGAATAAAATCCAGCCTCTCATTTAAAAAAAATTTTTCTCTGGAGACTTCCTTCCTTCCTTCCTTTCTTCCTTCTCTCCTTCCCTCCTTCCCTCTCTCTTCTCTCTCTTTTTTTCACCTGGTCTCCTGTTACCTGGGATAGAGTATAGTGGCGTCATGATAGCTGCAACCTCACATTCATGGGTCCAAGGCTACAGGTATAGCCCGCCACATCTGGCTAATTTTTCTATTTTTTGTAGAGATTGGGGTCTCAGTCTTGCTTAGGCTGGTCTTGAACTCCTGACCTCAAGCAATACTCCAGTCTGGGCCTCCCAAAGTGCTAGGATTATAGGTGTGAGCCACCACACTAGGCCTTGAGAATGCCATTTTAAAAAGATAGGCAGTGTCATGGTAACCATAGATGGTGCTGAAATCATAGTCCAGAATCAAGATAGAACCCATGAAGGAAGAGTGTTCTAAACAAAATATAGGTGGTACAAGACTAAGACCTCAGCATGGCTGTAGAACTGGATCAGATTGTGTGTAGATGAGTAGGAACATTCATAGATATAAAAGGAGGATACTATAAAGGAAAAAACAGAGCATGCTCATGTGTGTGCAAAGGCTGGGCTGCAGTGGAAGGCAGCATTACTGGACAGGCATATGTGCTGGGTCTGTTTGGAAGCTCTGCAGCTTCTCCCTGGTGTGGATCCTTAGATGCATTTGGAGCTCACTCATGTGAACCTTTATCTCTTTGTCATTGCTTCTGTGGCATTAGGGCTCAGAAACTTATTTGAGGCCTGCATAAGAATTGTTTTAAGGAGTTTCACTTATTCAGTTGTTAACCTGCTCTAAGGCCAGTTCCTCCTGCCATAAGCTGAAGGAAAGGGACACCAGCAGGAGAGTAGGGTGGGTCGTCATGAGGAGGTTTGGTAATTGTTCAAACAGGAAGGATAGAACCCTCAGAAAGACTAGAGATAGACCATCATGAAGATAAGAAGATACCAGCATAGCCTTGGGACTTGGTAGTCTTGGAAAACAGACTGATAAATAGAATTTGGCATAAAGAAGAATGTTGTAGGGAAGACATGGGCTGTCAACAGAGATGTGAGCAGTAGTCTGATGTGTCAGGAGAGGTGCCAAGCAGTAGCCACCAATAGTTGGGGCAGGTAGAAAAGGATGAAGATGAGGGCCAGGCATGGTGGTTTATATCTGTAATCCTAGCATTCTGGGAGGATGAGGCAGATAGATTGCCTGAGCTCACAGTTTTGAGACCAGTCTGAGCCACAGTGAGACCTTGTCTCTAAAAATAGCTGGGCATTATGGCGGGCACCTGTAGTCCCAGCTACTCAGGAGGCTGTGGCAAGAGAATCACTTGAGCCCAAGAGTTTGAGGTTGCTGGGAGCTATGATGTCACAGCACTCTACCCAGGGCAACAAAGTGAGACTCTGTCTCCAAAAAAAAAGGATGAAGATGAAGTTTGTTGGGTATGATGAAGGAAGACTGCCAGGAAGTAAAGAATAGGGCAAGTTCATCAGATGGACTGGACATATCCAGAGAGAACTTCAACTGAAATAGCCAAGGAGATGAAGAAGAGGCCACATAAGGATAGATTACACAGTAGCTCCTGAATAAGTTGTATTAATAAAAGGATCTAATGAGTTAACTGATGAGCAAGCTGTATAGCACTGCTAAGGGAATTGTAGACATTTTTGAGACAGTGAGAAAGAAGACAACTTTGATTTCTCTGCCAAAGTATCAGCTTAAAAGGACCACGGAGGTGACCAGTATACATACTCTTGTTCTTACAGTCTGACGACTAGGGTGAATAAGGAGAAAGCAGTAGGGAGGCTGTGATAAAAAACAGACTATTCTGTTGAGTTGAACACTGACTCATAGGGAGCCACTCTGGATGCTGACAGAACCTCTTGCGTTCTTTCTTTGTCTGAGGCTGTGGAGTTAACAGAGCAAATTGACTTTTTGATTCCTGAGCACTATATCAATGTATAAATTCTACATTTTTAAAAAATTTTTTTAAATTCTAAATTTGTTTTTTTTTTGATTTTTAAAAAAACTTTTTTTTAAATTCTAAATTTTAAAATTTAGGAATCATCATTCTCAACTGTTATATTGACTGCCAAATGTTATCTGGATACCCATGGTTGAATAGGGCACAGTAAATAATTCCCTTCAGCACAGGTGTCAAGACAAATGTCAATGAACTGAAACCAGAACCCCACACATTGCCTTCAGCAAATTAAGTGTTGAGTAAATGGCAGAAACAAAAAGGAATAAAAAAAAAATGGATATGGTTTGCTGATAATTCTTTTTCTCCACATTAAGGAAGCCTAAGAGTTGTGGAAGAGATCTAGTTAGTTGAAAGAGAAATAAATGTATATTTATATACATTATATGCATAATTGTCTCATCTGGAGTCAAGGAAAGGTGGCAAAGGAAAAGCATGTGAAATGGAGGCATTTATGATCATTTGGGCTTTGAGGTACAGATCAGCAAATTTGAAATTATACAAGTATGTTGGGGAGGCAAGATACACAGGTGTGATCGGGGATTTGTCAACCAAGGCATGAGAGCTAAGGGTGAGGTTCAAGCAGCTCACATTTTTCTTCTAGGGCTAGAGGACTGAGAGTAAGAGAAAGACTATAGCTAGGAAAGTGAGAATATGAAGTGCTGGATACATAAAGCAGAGGTAGATCTGGGAAAAGATTACAGAAAAAAAAATCAGTGAACAGGAGTAGGCAGGAGTAGGGGGCACAATAGAGCCAGGTGTTTTGTTACAAAGTGATAAAGATGGAGGTTTCAAGGCCAGGACTGATCACAAGCTGGGGTGGTCACAATGTGGAGATAGTCTTATGATGATCTTAGCCCCTGGCAAGATGACCGTGGTTTCCCCGGTCTAGAATCCCTAAGGAAAAGTGCCAAAGTTATCCAGAATCCACATGTGGTATGCTCACCAGTCGCCTTCCTGGATGTTCCACCTCTGTCTGCTGATAATACCTGCATGTGGGTACCATTGTCTACCACTCCCTAAGCTCCCTGAGTCAGTAACAAAATTAGGCTGATGTGAGAAGGGAAGCTATAATAGCAAAGGCAATTCTTCAGAGTAGGCCCTGTTCTCTCATCTTCAGTGTGTGGGAATAGTCACCAGGAAGAATCTGTTAATGTTCTTTCCTTTCTTTTTTTTTTTTTTTTGAGACAGAGCCTCAAGCTGTCCCCCTGGGCAGAGTGCCGTGGCATTACAGCTCACAGCAACCTCCAACTCCTGGGCTCAAGCGAGTCTCCTGCCTCAGCCTCCCAAGTAGCTGGGGACTACAGGCGCCTGCCACAACACCTGGCTATTTTGTTGTTGTTGTTGTTGTTGCAGCCATCATTGTTGTTTGGCGGGCCTGGGCTGGATTCGAACCCGCCACCTTAGGTGTACGTGGCTGGCGCCTTAGCCGGTTGAGCTATAGGTGCTGAGCCTGTTCTTTCCTTTCTTTGGTGCTTATATTCTGTATTTGGCTGCTTCCCTTTAGGGAGGTGCCTGTAGCACAGAGAGCATCAAAAGAAATGCCAGAGTTAATCTGGGAGCCATCTAGCTGTAAGGGAGATTACACAGGGTTGTTAGCATGGGAATTAGGGATAAATCCTCAGAGAAGAGACTTGTGGGAGGGAGAAGAATCAATATATTTCATTAGACCATTGCTTACATGGATGATAGTCAAAAGTTGAAAAGATAGGCATCAATAACTGGTCTCTTACCTTTTCTCCTTCATGAGGGACCCACTTCCAACTGTCTTTGGAAGTGCTCTAAACTTTCTCTTTGTTCTTCCTAAATAAAACCTTCATTACCCTGAAGAAAAAAAAAGCACCAATAACTGATAACTTTGTCTTGGCTCAGTAGGACGAGTTTCTCAGAAGTACTCTCCTCACCATGGACTAATTTGTGCCCCTTGTTCTGGGTTTATACCTTCAAGCCTCCTACCCATCCATCTGCTATCTACTCACCTAACAAGGTCACAACCTGTTCGCTTTCTGGGTAATGTTCTCTAACTGAGGTCTAGAGCTTCTCAAGATGATGAGGAACTGCTCCAGTGTCAGCAGCTCCAGGTGTGGTACTCTGACTATAACCTCTGATGGCAGATCTTGCAGAGATAACTCAGAGTCACTCAGGCCCAGGAAAATTCCTGGTAGCAGAGGTGCCTGAAGTGCTCTCTGCAGATTTCCTGGTATGAAGGACTCTTTCCTGGAAGTCTGGATTTCTGATTACATGTGAAGCTTTTTTTTTTTTTTTTTTTTACTTCTTGACTTTCGAATACCTTTTTTGTACTTCAAGAACTGGCATGGTCATAGCTAGTACTTCTCTTGGTTCTCTAGATGGTCTGAACCTAGGAATTTTAGTAGCAGATCTACTCTGCCTGAAGTCTGGGATTCAGAAAGACTCCTTATTCAGCATCTAGTCTTCAGGGTTAGTCCTATATTATTCAAAAATGAAATGTATATGTGTGTGTGTATATAACACACATGCGCACATGGGATTAGTATTCAAAATATAAAAAATTTCTACCCGCTGATAAGGAAAAGTTAAAAAGCCCCGAAGTCAAATTGTACAAAGGATATGAATAAGGAATTCACAAAGGGGAAATGCAAATGACCAGTAAACATAAAAAGATGCACCATTTTATTAGTATTCAAGGATTAAAAATAATATATCATTACAAACCTAACAACTTGGCA